TTAATTTGCATCATTTATATCTGCACGGCATTCATCTTTATTTAAAAATGATCAGGCTGCATGAGAACATGTATGTAGCCTCACTGGAACCTATGTGCTAGTAATGATCATATGATTATTTTACATTTTTGTCTGTTTTAGAATGTAAACACCAGATGGCAGCAGAATGTAACGTTTTAAAGGTTCGGCTGTCTTGGGTTGTGCTTGATGTGTTGACATCTGTTAATTATTCTTCTTCCCTTTGGCCCTAAACTACATGAGTGATTGTAATCTCATACTGCACAGTTTAACTCTCTGTAGACCTTTAGGGCTTGTTCACACCGCCGTGATTGGTGTTTTTCAGCAATTGAACAATGCATGTTACCACTAGGACGCATAGAAAACAATTTTGGGTATGATGTGCAGTGCACTGCAAAAAAATGCAGACGTGAAGCCCAACATTTTTTGGGGAGATCAACCCCTTTCTCAAGGTAAACCTGAATGTTCACTCTGCCCTAGTCTGTATTAAATGGTCACCAGAGCCTGCTTGGCTGGAACCCTGTTGCGTCATGTCATATGATGCACCAGTGGTTCTGACCACATAAACAGAATTGGAAGAGGAGAGCAAAGGGGTGCTGTGCTTGTGCCACTGAAGGTCTCTTTGCCCCCGGAAGGCTAGACTATGATCTGTGATTATAGATGATAAGGTAGATGATCTTAAATTTGCTGAAGGACTAACCATGTTGATATACTGATCCCTGCTGGTCCCCTTAGGCCTCATGCACGTGGACGTCTGGGGAACCTGCAGACTCTTGCAGCAGTAATCGCAGGTAGGTCCATGCAGCAGCCATTTTGCCCATTCAAGTGAAAGGGTAATTCGACTTTATCAGGCGAATTTGGGAAACTGGAATTACCCCCTTCAATCTAGGTCCTCTCCAACCCCCCGCCCCCCACTCTATACCTTTTGCCGAACACTCCTTGCCCCCTGCCGGTACCGATGTACTACCCGTACTCCATACATGGTCAGCGCCATCAACTGATCAATGAGAAGCACTTCTTAGCAAGGTGGGTAATTCCATTTTCCCAAATTCGCCACAGAAAGTGAATTTACCCTTTAATGACAGCAGCCGCATCTGTCCGCATGTCATTGTACATGGAACGATTACATACGGATGGGGAAAGATGCTTGTCCCTGGAAGCAATCTGTCTGCCTCCAGGGACAAGCATCTCTCCCGATCTGCAGGTAATCGTACCAGTCGCGGAAATATGCGGCCGCTGTCACCCTGTAACTTGAATGGCCACTACAGCCGCTTCTGTACTGACCCACCTGGGGTTCCTGCCGCAAGAATCCCCAGACACCCATGTGCATGTAGCATTATGGTAAAATATGAAGATATCACTATCCCAAGGAGAGTTTTGCTAATAGATCCTTTTAGATTGTAAGCCCTCAGGGGCAGGGCCCTCCTTGCCATCTTGTCTTGATGTGTATTGTAACTGTAATGTCTTCCTTATATTCTAAAGCGAAGCGCAAACTGTTGGCGCTATATAAATACTATGTAATAATAAGAATAGTGACGGCACTGTGAGCACTATAAATGCATGATCAGACACAATCTGATGACTTTCCTGTCTTTTTCCTCTCCCTCCCTGCGGCCCCTCTAAGTTGGGGAGTTTTCAGCCCTGGGTACGCAGCAATCGCTATATACATTTTTTGCGAGCTCAAAAATTCACTTTTCCTGATGAAGCTTATTATGAAACTCATTGAATACTGGCCACTCTTATCAGACTGCTGATGTCTGTGAACTCCTCATTGACCCAGGAGGGTATATTTGAAATCATGTACCTGTAAAGTAATATTTTTCCATGTCCAGCAAATGTTGATGGCGCTATACTATATTTTTTCTATAATAATTTCATAATTATTGTTTTTGATACCATAATACAACACAGTATGAATTTTTAGACGTGTTTTAAGACTGCTGGCACTTTGAAAATCCCAAACTTTTAATATTTTTGCAATCATGTTTTCTGAAGGAAAATTAACTGTAAGGCCCCATTCACTCCAGGGCGTATCGTGAACACATGGCAAATGTGCGCACTGGGACTCACATTCACAATACGTGCACAAACGCGGAATGTGCATGCGTTGACATTACTAGGTAATGGCATCCCAAATGGAGTTGAGCAAACACTGTTTTCCATGCACGTTCACACGTATGTAATCAATGGGGGCGTGCACCAAACACGGGAAACAAAGGCTCACAAACATGCGAGAATGCTCGTCATCGCAACATCGACATCCACCCGCCCCCTCCTCCGTTCGTTCCTCCACTCAGCGCTGGAGGATTAGAGAGGGGAAGGGGGGAGTCCCTGCGGAGAGCGGTGACTGACAGTCGGTGTTCACTGCAGGGAGACGATCAGGAAGTGAGCGGATCGGCAGCATGTTTCTGCTCACTTCCCGATCGATAGAGCCGACCTGTGACAGCTTCTTTGTTACACCTCGGCTCTAACTAATGAGGATGAGTGGAGATCACTCACCTCATAGTTCTCCTTTAATCAGCAGTTGAAATTGCTTAAAAACTTTTTGGCTTTAATATCCCACTATAGCAGTGTGTAGTATTTTTATTATTTAAAATACTGTGTTCAAGTCTAAAAAGTAGAAATGTGAATATATTTATTTGCATTCATAATGTAAAGCTCTGTGCAAACTGTTGGCTCTATATAAATCTTGTATAATAATTAATATTATTATTTGCATTGTTTTAGTCAGTTGAATAGGAAATGTTGCAGATGAATTTTCACTTTACCATGCTTTTCTTACCTGCTTTGCTTTAAAGATCTTAATTACCTAATGCCCAGAGTGCACACACAGCTAAATAAGTCAGAGGAGTGACTTGTCCCCCTTCTCTCCCTGCTCTCTCACTTCTCTGTTTGGCTCCTGATGTGCTATCTCTCTGTCGAAAAAATAGTGGGGGGAATTTATCAAAACTGGAGCAGACGAAATCTGGAGCAGCTGTGCATGGCAACCAATCAGCTTCTATCTTCAGTTTGTCGAGTTAAGATTTTAAAATGAAAGAGAGAAGCTGATTGGTTGCCATGCACAGCTGCTCCAGATTTCGTCTGCTCCAGTTCTGATAAATTCCCTTCAGAATGCTTTTCAAAAACTGTGTCATGGATGTTTCCCATATGAAAACAGAATAGAAATTGTTTTTTATATATTATATAATGCTTCAATTCCTGGCTGTAGTTTCACTTAAAACTAGTTTTTATATGTACATGTAATGATTTTACTAAAAAATTAGTAAATATTGTATATACTTTTTTTTAAATCGAGTTCAGCTTTAAATGTGAAGATGCCATGAAAGTACCTGGCTTAGAACACACTTTGATTGAAATGTACTATTTTCTGAATGCCATATACAAGTTCCTGGGAAGACACACAGCCAGGGCAGTCACCAGCCTGCAGCAAAAAAAGTGGCGGAGGAGTGTCCTTGCCACAACTTATTGGGCCAGTAGAGGGGTGTGACAGTTTTGCGGGTGCTTGGGTGAACATAGTTCACCCCAAGCTTCGCCCGAGTGCAAACTATCATGGCAAGTAAAGTCCCAGAACTAGTATGAAAGCTGTCGGAAAATACAATCCTTTTCCTACACTTTACTAAATCCGCTTGCAAAAAACAAAACGCCAGCATACATAGATGTGCAAGTATATGGGCAAGCTTGCATGGTCATTTTAAAGAAGTAATTGGAAAACCTAAAACAGGAGGTCAGGGCCCATCATGGTCTGTAGGATTAGTATAGTAAGTGTTGAGAGATTGCTGTTACACTTCTGGCTGCTACATTCAGTTCTGTCAAGCCATAGATATCATAGGGGATTTCCTTGAGGCCCGGGGAGATTTAAGAAAAAAAATCAGCAGCTGGAAGTGTTCGAGGACCAGCTTTTGGCAGCTAGAAATCCTGCAGATCTCGAGTTCAGAATTAAATGTAATTATCACTATAACAATGGCCTAGATTTACCCAAAACATCCTTCCATTATGGAGTGCAGGAAAATGTGGGCATTTTGCTGTGTAGCTGGTCAGTAATTATAACGTAGACTTTTTTTAAGGACAAGTCTTAAAAAAATGGCAGAGTACACTTTTCATAGGCTAACGATTATTTTCATAATCAATTAGTTGCCCGATTTTTAATTTTTTCAACTAATCGATAGTTTGCATTAAAATATCTCTGTCTCTCTCTCTCTCTCTCTCTCTCTCGCTCTCGCTCTCGCTCTCGCTCTCTCGCTCGCTCTCTCGCTCTCTCTCTCTGCTCTCCCTCCCCCCTCTCTCTCCCTCCCCCCTCTCTCTCCCTCTCTCTCTCTCTCCCCTCTCACTCTCTCTCCTCCCACTCCTCCCTAACTAACCGATAATGAGACTATTGCCAACTATTCTTATAATCGATTTATTATCGATTAGTTGTTGCAGCCCTAGGCGTAATGGAGAGCTCCCAGCAAGCAGCTGTGCAATTCGGCAGTAGAGCATAAGGGTTACCACCCTTTTAAAGCCTTCAATATTCCAGGCCACTTGCCATTTTTTTATTGTACCCCAACCTATCTACAAGTATGTATGACACCAAGGTTAGGCTCTTTCTTTATCTACCACCACCCCCATTTCAAGGTAGATATCAGGCTTACAATGATCATGTTTAACATGATCATTGTAAGCCTGATATCTACCTTTAAAATGGCGCATCAGTTCAATATAAAGACAGATGTCCATACGTACATTGGCAGAATTGAGAAATTCTGAGGGTTCAGTCCAAAATAGCCAAGTATAATACAAATACAAACTTCTACTCTGTGTTGGCTTTAGCTAACCCCTAGTGCTCTGGAAACGCCCTGTCCTATATTACTTTAACTTTACTTGTTTAAACAAAGATTGTTTGAATGTAAAAGGTTTAAAAACGTGTACGTTTTATAAAATAATTAAGCTACTCGACGCCATTACACAGTAGTTTCCCCTTTAAATAATCTTTTTCTGTCTTTCAGATTGTGAAATTGGCAACTTATGGAATGCTGCCGAAAAACCTTCTCAGGAGGACCATGATAATGAGATTGCACTTATTCGCTGAAGAGGTAAGCGCTGCAGGCATATAGAATGTCAGGTCTGTGTATTTTGTGTAAACTGTTATTGTTATATTGCCTTGATACACTTCACAACTGACCGCTTCTGTTTTATAGCCAATAACGTTAAACAGTGTAAGGCCCAGACATTTGCATTCTGAAAAGCGCCTCAACCCCTCTTTCAAATCACAAATACCAAAAATAGAACATGGGGTTTAATGTGGTGCATACCCATTAGGCATGAGTATGCGCCTCATTAAACCCCATGTTCTATTTTTGGTATTTATAGCCAATAACCATATGCTGAACCTTTCCAATTCAAAGTGCCTCACGGGACTCTAGATGGCTTGTCCAGCTCATGGTGTTGCAGATGTCATTGGACATGAATATTGATTGCACATTCCGGCTGTGAGCTAGCAGCTGACACTAGGGAGTGCAAATCTGAACTTGAAATTTTAGGAGACTTGGGGAGGAGAGGGACCGAGGTTCAGGTGAGTGTATCTTTTTTTTTTTTTTTTTACCCTAGACCAAAACAAGCACTTAATTCTTGCAGTGCGGGGTAGCCCCAGTGAAGGGGTTAATTTTTTACATTCCCGGAGTGCTTTTAAGAGACCCTGTCACCTATTTAAATAAATTGCAGGTATAAGTATTTTAGCCCTCTTATCTTCTTGGAGTGTCCAATTACTGGCTGTGCTGGCCCTACTTTTCCACCAAGCCAACCTTCGTGGCGAAGCAAAATATTTTAGAGCAGGGGTCCCTAAATGGCAGCCCGCGGTACAGACACGGACTGAGTGACCGGTCTGTCCAGACCACAGTTCGAACCTCTGCTTGATGAAAATTGTACATACCAGACCTCCTTGAATCTTAATGCACTACCCCTACTTTAGCGTGTCACTTGCGTGACAGCTCTAAGTCTGCTGGGGCTGTGGACTTCACATTGAAGATGGCGGTGCCCAGCAGCAAGTCTCTTTTGGATGTCTAGACAAGGCAGACTCTTACAGGTGAATGGCATGCATACTTTACGTTAAATTCACATATAATCTGATAGTAAGATTTTTGTTGAAATGAACGGACTGGCAACCGGGTCTCTCGTTAAGCATATGAATAAGTCTTTTGATTTCATGGTTTGGTCTTCCTTATAAATATAGACTCCTGGCTGGATACATTTAAGTATTTTGACTTTAGAAGGAATTTCCTTTTTTAATAACTGGATGAAATGCTCTAATTAGGTGGCTATGGAAACTGGACAATTTACTCCCACTTCACCTTGTGTAATGCTGACTGTATGCAGCTCAGAAACTATTCCACTGCCCAGTCATAAAAACTGAGACATGTTTGCTTTTCCTGATTGTATTTAATTGCAGTTCAATGCTCTTTTCCTTTTAGAACAGCTTTTAATGTTATACTTCTGACTAATATAAATTAATTGGCTGTAGGCGCAAATTCACAAAGCTAACACATCGGTGTGAGGATCTTAATTTTAAAAAAGAACTGATTACTATTTATAGTTTTTTTTTTGCAATTAAATCTTGAAACATGGCTAAAATAGAGACCCTTCTCCTAGAGATACTTGGTATGTATGCTACGTTCAGGTTCCGAGTCACTTGACCTGAAACCAGAATTAGGTTGACTGTCATGATCTGGGATCAGACTTGGAGTCCAGTAGCAAATTTGTGGTATAACAGGGACTGGGTTCAGTACACAAGCAGACAGTGGTAATATAAGAGCAGGCATAAGCATAGTCGGTGATCAAGCCCAAGTCTGTAGCCAAAGGTATCAGGTTTGTGGAAGTTGAAGGCGATAAGCATAGTAGGTGAATCAGTAGCCAAGGGTCGGTACATGATTAGCAGTATGAGGATGCCATATCGCAGTAAGAGCAGGAAGCATGATATTGGCAGGAGCACAATAATCTGGCAAACAGGAAGTGCAGAGGAGGGGCTTAAATAGGAAGTTCAATGGAGGAGCAAAGGGTTCAGAGTTCAGCAGAAAACTAGGTTAACTGAGAAATCAGAAATGGAGCTAGCCAATGTTTCATGTAGCTCAGCACCACTGCCAGATACAGCAGAGGCCCTGGGTTCAGATCCAGATCCTGACATTGACATTAGGTCACATGACCTCTACATTGCACAGTGCTGTCGGTCTAAAATAGGCAAACGTGCAGGAGTAGAGAGCACAAGAAGGACTGAATAAGTGTATTGCTACTCCTTATTTGGCCAGTTAGCCGACAGGTGGTGTGTCCTGGACCAAACAAGGATGCTACTGTAATGGAGGTCAGAGTTGAATATTAAGTATGGGGTAGCCATGGCACTGGTTTTCCTGAGAATTATGGATTTCCTAAAGAAAAAACAAAAAAAGAATGACTTTTTCAAATTATTGCTCGCAAATTGAAACACCACAAAGCACAAGGAGAGGGAGTGGTCATTTCTCTGCATTATTTAGCTGTGTGTGGATTTTGAATTGGAGCCTTTTTTTGCTGGCTCAAAATAGTAGATCTGAAATAATCATTTAAATGCAATATTACATATTAATAAACAAAACTACATAGTGAAAACCATTTTAAAAAAAACTATGCTCTTTAAAACTACTTCTTCACACAGAAGGTCTCCTTCTACTGTATTTGCATGGCAGGAAGACTTTTCCTCTTATAATGATTGCTGTGCAGAGACCAAATTTCCGATTTGGGTGAGATTGAAGAGAATATCCTGACACGCAGAGTCTTGTTTTACTGTGATGTGAAACGGCTGAAAGTTGTGTTTGGTCACAGCTAATCCCATGCTAGCAAGGCTGCCTTTATCTGCCTTCAACTACTCATTATCCATTTAAACTCTGTGGAATTGTGCCTCTCGGTGTTTAAAAATATGAAGTAACATCTCCTTAGAAAGGACTAGTTTGCTACATTTTCTCATCAAGCTTGTGTTGGTTTTTGGCAGCTGGACAGTTAAAGTGAGATAACATTGAGACACGTGAGTCCCTCTAAATGTGTGCAAGCTGTATGAATGTAGCCGCATTAAACTGGTACAGTACATCGGGGTGTTTCCAGTGTGAAATATATAAAGGTTTTTCCCACTTTGCTGTTCATACTGCCTTACCCAGTCCTGGACCGACCTGTGGTGTCTTCTTGAATAAAATTTGTCAAATTTCTTACAGCAATATCTTAAATCATTCAGACTGGGGGTTGGGACGATATCCTTGATTGTGTGTTCTGTCGTCTTTGGAGATGTCTTTGTGCCAAGTGGCACTTCTTTCTAGTGATGGGGAAGTATAACATTGCTTGGCCAACAGAAGCTGGCTCGAGCGGACAACATACATCCTGTCAAGTACTAGTTGGCGTCCAGACAGCTCCAGAGATGAAGAACGTACAAATCAGCTGATTACCTGAATTGTGTAATTCCTCACTGATCAACGAATGGATGAAAAATGTGTAAATCGCAGCTGATTGACTCATCACTACCTTTAGCAGACTACAAGATGTTAGCAGGAGCCAGTAGAAGAATGACAGATCAAGTTTGGTTGTTGTAGTTGACACGTCGACTGGATTCTACTCTAGTGCCATGTTTTGTATAGAGTGTAAAGGTTGTCCTGCTAAAGGAAGGACCTCTGTTACCAAGCACCGTCTTTGTGGCAAGTGGCACTTCTTTCTAGTGATGGGGAAGTATAACCTTGTTTGGCCAACAGAAGCTGGCTCGAGCGGACAACATACACCCTGTCAAGTACCAGTTGGTGTCCAGATAGCTCCAAAGATGAAGAACTGATTACCTGAATTATCAGCTGATTACCTGAATTCCTGAATTGTGTAATTCCTCACTGGTCAACGAATGGATGAAAAATGTGTAAATCATGGTTGATTGACTCATCACTACCTTGAGCAGACTACAAGATGTTAGCAGGAGCCAGCAGAAGAATGAAAGCTCAAGTTTGGTTGTTGTAGTTGGCACATCGACTGGATTCTACCCTAGTGCCATGCTTTGTATATAGTGCCAAGGTCCAGATGTTGTCCAGCTAAAGGGAGGACTTCCTGTTACCAAGCACCGACTCAACAAATTTGTTGATAATGAACAGCAATGATATAGAAAACTGGTATTGAATTTGTAGTATATGACGGGAATGAGCTTGGAGATTACATTACAACACACACAGGGACCATGGGGAGCAAAGTAGCCCCCCTCCAGAAGGAAGGACGGTGTGAATGAAGTAATCTCATTTTAGACTTCAGGAATATGCTGCCGTATTGACACAAAAGTGATAGATCCTCATTAAAGTGACATTAAACCCTCAGATTTTTTAACATAAACCAATACTGTAATGTGTGCCTTACTGTAATCCATGGTTGTTTCCCTTCTCTTTGCTGCTCTTCCTTTTAAATACTCATGTCTTCTCATGCTCTGCAGAACTTCCCTTTTCAGCTCAGGGCCTCTTCCTGTAGTGCTGGCTCAGATTACAAACCCATACAAACCTACACACAGACACCGTGTATCCATTCCTGAGACAAGGCAGTCTGCTGCAAAACAGAAGTTCTGCCCAGCATGAGAAGAGATACAGATTTAAAAGGAAGAGCAGCAAAGAGAAGGGAAACTACCATGGATTACAGTAAGGCACACATTACAGTATTGGTTTATGTTAAAAAATCTGAGGGTTTAATGTCACTTTAATGGCTGTTTTGCAGTATGGATGCTTTTGTGACTCCCACTCCTGTGATGAGAACATATTCTGATAACAGTTTCTGAACAGCTTTTGGAAATACTGTCTGCTAAATAATATGTGTTATTTATACCCCTAAACTGCTAACCTCTAACTGAGTGCTTAAATTTTTTGGGATAAATCAAAAATCTAATTTTACTCTAGGAAAGTGGAGTGCTTGAACCCTTCTTCTGTTCAATTGTTTACAAGCACATAGGGGACGCATGTCATGTGTTGGTTTTGTGTTATTGTAGGACATCCCTGAAGAAATCTTGAGGAATATTAGTACTGAACTCAAGCAACCCAGAAAAATCCCCCGAAGACTGAATGAGTACACACAGGAGGAAATCGAGGCTTATCCTAGGCTCTGGATTCCGTATGTATATTTTGTTGGCATAACTTTCCTTCTGTTTTTGGTTTGAAGTATACAGCTGCTTCTTTTAGGCAGGACAGTGAAACAGATCACAGAAACTCCATAGATGGCAAAAGATTCTGAGCTTTCTAGATGGAAAGCCCAGCACTAACAGCCTGCTTGCTGGTAGGTTGTGACTCTGCTAGAAGGGGAGGGGGGAAGTGTCCTTCCTCTGAGGCATTATACAACAAGAAAAAGCACTTTAAAAAAAATCTTGTTCTGCTTTCTGTTCACCACCTGCTGACTGCAAGTTATGAATATGAAATCTTCCTATGCGACACTGCATTTTCACCTTAAAGCAGAGAACTGGTGTTTCCACCCACCTCTCCCACCCTCTGAAGCTCCCCTAGGTGTTTATTATTTTAAAAAAAAAACATATACATACCTTTTTCCTGCAATCTTATAGGTCCAGTGACATCACAGCAGGTTCCACTGCCATCTCCGGCAGCAGTGGGGAGCCTGGCATTCTTCTAGGACTGAAGGGTGCTCGTGTAATAAGATGTGAGGTATGTTGAATCTTGGAGTACTGTGAGCCCAGTCTGCATAATAACGCACCCCCTAGAAGGCCTGCAAAAGGACAGGCTGGGCTCACAGGAAATAGGCAAAATAACGCATGTAGTTTTGCCCAAAGAGTACTGGCGCTGGACTGAGGAATAGAATTGGGACATATATAGTCCCCCTATTAATTGGGACATATATAGAATTGGGACATATAAAGAGCAAACACTAAGGGGTATAATGGATCTTGTTATTAGGCGGGGATAGGACTTATGAGAATTCAAAATAGAAATACAGATTTATTTTAGGTTTTGACCATAGATACCCTTTGATGCCTTGCACAGATTTACTGCATGTGTTCTTTTTTTTTTTTTGCCCTGACATATGCATTAACATAATCATGAAAATAACTATACATTCTTTGAAGTAGCTGTAGAATATTGGAAAGAAAGGAGAACAATAGATGATGCTCAGAGTTGGGCACCAAATGTTTTGCTACCTGATTCTTGGAATGTATCCGCTTCATCGTAGCTTGGGCACAAAACAGAGGAAGTAATTTATTGTTCCCTAGTTCCCATGTAAAGCCTCAAGTGGACATGGCAAAGAGTGAGCCAGGAACCTGTGGTTGTTTTGTGCCGATAAAGCCATTGTTAAGGCGTCTTGTGAGATCTTTACGTACAAACTGTGTCCACTTGAAATGGAAATCATTTTCCTATTCTTTCTTTCTTTGGCTGAGCAGTTTATTGGAACTTCTAAATCTTTACAGGTAGTTCTAATGATCAGCTTTAACAAAAGAGGAGTTCTTATTTGGGTTGATTGAGGCTTGGAAGGTCTGGTGTCCTGTTGGAAGTTGAAAGGATAATGGTACTTGATAGAGTCCAGAGAAGGGCAACAAAATTAATAAGGGGACCAGAGCACCTCGGCTATGGGAAAAGACAACAAAAATTGCACTTAGTCACTCTGGAGAAGAGACCTTTGAGGGGTTAGGATTGCATTGTACAAATTGTTTAAAAGAAAACTAAAGCCAATCCTTTTTTTTTTTGTCTTTAGTCTTCTTTTGGATCATAGGAGGACATTTACTAATGTTCTCCTGTAACCCAAAGTCAGCATCTGGCAGCCTATTGCCCACTATGTGCTGAGAGTACAGAGCCACTGTGCAGCTGGGAAGGATGCCAAGAATTTTGTGAGGATCCATCCCGCTGCCTGATTGACAGCTAGCTCTGCCTCTCCAGAGCCAGCTGTGTCCACCCCCTTCCTGTCTGTCCCTCCAATAAGTGCTGGAGGAACAGAGAGAGTAGGGGGTAATCCCTGCGGGAGCCATCACTGACCGTCACTACTCTCTACTGGAAGAAGACTGTGAGCTTGAGCAATCAGAGGTTCGTGATCGCTCAGCACTCTGTCTATAGAGCCAGCATTGAACACTTGCTCTATAGATAACTCACCAGCTCTAAGTATTGAGAAGAGAACATTTTACTCTCCCAATACTTCTCCTTTAATGTTGATGGTAGAATCAGCAATTAACTATTCACTCCGAGGTGCCTAAGAAACATAAGAGGCCACCACCTGAGATTGAAGGAAAAGAGGTTTAATCTCAAACTGCGTAAGGGATTCTTTGCTGTTAGAGCAGTAAAATTGTGGAACTCTCTTCCCCAGGCAGTGACATCAGCTGAGAGTATAGACTCGTTCAAAAAACTTCTGGAAGTCTTTCTAAGGGAATATAATATATAGGGGTATGGGAATTCTTAGTGACTGTTGCATACGCAGACACCTACACACACGCCTAGGATGAACTGGATGGATCTGAGTCTTTATTCAACCTAGGTAATTATCTAGCTTACCTAATTCAAACTACGTAATTGTGTGATCGTACTTGTACTATAAATAATGCATTTGTTCTTTTTCCTAAGACATCAGAAGAAACAGAAATATCATTATTTGCCTTCATTGGACATAAGACATATTTCTAGTAGAATGGTTTGTTTCATGGCTGTGTTTACAATGCTTTGCCTGGAACTGATCCTGGTCACCACTGGAGGGCACATCTTGGAGTGGGGAGACCTGCTATGTATAGGAAGAAATGTGCAGTTCCAAGCAAGACAAGATTTAAAGGGAGACCTAAGAGACAGCAGCCCATGATATCTGAAACAGGACTTATCTGTATGACAAAATACCCGTCATATTGCCATTGTAGGGACAAGTGAAACTGCATAATTTATAGTGAAGATGAACTTCTACCTTAATGTTCTCTATGACTAGCATTTAGATCCCCCATGCCCCCTGCATGATCATATCATTCCAAGCTCACCTATGGCCAAGCTGCAGTTGTCACAAGTGAATAACCTGTATATGAAGAATCCTCTTGTGGTCGCAGAGCCTTCTAAAGTCTCATTCACTCCGGGAATTGAACACTTGGGATTAGATGTATTTAGAAAGTGTTTCTAAGCACATATATACTATATGCATCTTATGATTTCTCACTGGGTTCATTTACACATTGCAATTACTTACATTCAGCCGTGGTCAGTGAAACAGTATATGCATCTGATTATTTCTCAGTGTGTTCATTCACACGTTGAGATTACATGCATTCAGCCACAATAATTTTACCTGGGTTGGGGGGAGTCTTGTGCTTTCCCAGATCACTTTTTTCTGTGTTTAGATGTCCCTGGGATAGCTGCATTAAGACGTGTTTACATGGGCTTAGCCGTGTAAAGCCAATGCAAATGGTCCAGGGACACAGATAATTCTTGTTTGTGTAAACTCAGCTAGACTGCCCCTAAACACTGCTGAACATGATCATTCAGCCATAGCAAAGCATTAAATGTTTCTAGGTGAGTTTAGAAATAAGCTCCAATCTCACCTGACAGCGTGTGTTTTAATTTCCTGGTGCATGCGGCCTTATACTTCCCAGTATGGCCCCAAATGCAATTGAGGCCTTAGAACAGGGGTAGGCAACCTTGTTACCCCAGTAGTTGTGAAACTACATGTCACATTGGACATTGCAAGACTCTGGCAGCCACAGGCATGACTCCCAGAGGCAAAGGCATGTAGTGATTTGTAATTTCACCACAACTAGACGGCCGGAGTTTGCCTACCCGTCTTAGAATATGCTGCACAGTCACTAGTACCAGCAGTAGATCCTCTAAAAAAGCAACACTCAGCCTATCTTGGCTGTGCTAGGGGTAGAGGTAGATATCCACCCCATGGTTCCAGACAGCAGCAAAGACCAAATCGGAGAATCCAATGCTGTATTAACGCCACTCACAACAGATCATATTTGGGTAAATGAAATTTGGGTGAGGTTGTTCTGACTACACCCCGTGTAAGAAGTATAGAGTTTGCGTCCCTCCTCTCTAGTAATTTTGGACTAACTTTGTGAGTGTCTCTGGCATTCAGAACATGCATATAGGTCTAGATGGGTGAATCAGATTGTTCTCCTCTAAACCTCTATCTTTTATTGTTTGTGTTTGGTGCCCGCTCACTGCTAATGATCTCCAAGGTATTAAACCCTCCGTATAAAAATTCTCTGACATTGGAAACGCAGTCTCTCTGTGAGCTGAGCAAAGATCACATTGTGAAGTTAATCCCTTGCATTTAATGCTTTTTATGCCTCTTTCTCCCTCTTATCGCATACTAAACTCCTTTGTCCTCTCTTAACGAAGCTTTCCGGTCTGAAATGTGCTCCTGGTTTAAAGATCTCTTTACATTGTTCCCCATGTGTTCCTACCAGCCTTTCTCTTCAGCGTCGGCTGTACTAGTATTAAAAGAGAACATTACACACAAGACTTTCATGGATCAATAGAAATGGATTGCTTGATTCAATTCCAAAACTTTCAGTTTGCTCAGAAGGGGTTCAGCAATGGTCAAGGAATGCTTTGATGTGTGATGGAACTGACCGGGAGTCCTCGCTTTTATTTCAACGCTCGGTCACGCCTACTCTAGACTCAGCGGCTGAAAGCTCGCTGGCTGGTCCTTTTATAAGTGGAAGCCATTGTCTTTCTGTTGGTGACATGCAGTCAAGCTTGACATGTATTCAGATCTATCAGAGATTCACACAGTGGTTTATTACTGAATAAATTCTGTAGTGTCATACATTTTATGTAGCCTTGGCCTAGGAGTCCATATGCAATTTGTGAGGTTTAGAAGAAACCACGTATTGATTATTGAGCATTAGATGCAATTGTAGTAACAATAGCAATTCACAACTACACGTGGGAATATGTGTAGTTACGCCTTTGCAGTCAAATTTGGGGAAACCTCTACTGTATGTTTGTTATGTTTTCCTATTCACACAGCATGCCATAAAAATATTTTTTACATATTTCTTACCTTTTAGCTGTTTTTCGAGTGAAAGCCTTTGTGCAGATTCCAGGCTACTCTGAGGAGTTTGTCCTTTACTTTTGCTCTCTACGTTTAGGGCAGCTTCACACAATCTACGTTTGGGCTGTGCTGGCCGTTTTTACCAT